AAAAATATCCAAATGCAGCGGAACAAATCATCTATATTTTCTTTCTTTCTCCTCCAAAACAAATCATATACAAACAGTACAAATCATGACTGAGAGAACAGAAAAAATAAAGCAGAAAGCATCCTAAACTGTACAAAAATCAAAAATTACAAAAGTAACCGTATCACAGATTGCGACTCTGAAACTCCTTAGTACCATGACCATTCACTTCCCTTTCCCAGAACTCTGAAAACCAACCAGAAAAGCAAGAGTTAGCTCAAGCAAAGCGACAAAACCTCCAATCAAATTCTCAGAATCCAAAACTCAAATACATCAGATAAATCCGTAACAGAAATCAGAACAGAATCGGACAAGAATATCAAAATCGGGAGCGAGCATTTCAGAACGGAACCAGATCAAATCAAGACAGAACTGTACGGAAACAAAAGCTATCAAATCAGAAACAGAACAATCAGACATATCAATCAACAGAATCGAGAATCAATACGAAATCAGAAATTCAGGATCAATATCGAGAACAGAACAGAATCACGTATCAAAGAAATTGTATACAAGAAAATCAAGAATCAGAATTTGCTTACAGAACAGTACGGAAGTCGAATCATATCAATCAGATATTCAGATATTATAATAGCTAAAATTCCCTGATACTGGACTGAATCTCACAGGATCCAGGCCCCTTATGGGCTCCCTTTTGTGCTCAACAAGGCAACCAGAACAACAGATGTGTTATTTTATTTCGACCAGAAATACATAATATACGTGCTTGTAGCACCTAAAACAATGTTCCTCGGATCCGGAACAGAACATATCAAAACAGAATTTCAACTTGAAGCTCCATTTCAGATTTCCACAGACACTAAACTGAATCTCATAGGATCCAGGCCCTTATACTCCATTCTCATAGCATATACAGATAGCATATCATTGCAGATAATCCGACAAAAATTCAGAAATTACGCCAAAAATCGGGCACAGCGATAACGGCAAGTAATAACAGAATTTTACACAATTTTCCTGAAAATCACCAATTCACCAAATTTGCACAGAATGGTAGATAACAACATTTCAAGAAATTTATTCTAAACTGCCATCAATATTAATATTCACCACAGAAAAAATACATACGGAATAAAACGTCGTCAAATCAAAAAACGATCCCGGTACAAAAATTCCAAATATATTCAAAATGGTGCACACCCCGACACGTCAACAACATACAAAAAGTTACGCGGTAAAAAACCTAAAGCGCAGTCGGAAAATACGGACCGAAAATCGCTAACAAATGAAAATCCGGACAGAAAATATATGCGCCGTTCTGAAAAATTGAGAAGGCAAGAAATGTTTTCTTAACCATTGCGTACAACAAGTTTCCTGAACAGTCTCTTGACGAAAACATAGCTTCGACGTTCGTCCGATAAATCCACTTTTTCTCACTTTTTTCCTCGTTTTTCTCTCTCCTTACACTTTTCTCTTCTTTCAAAATTCTCATTTATATATATATGCCAGAACTGATCGTCCCTGAGATCGATTGAGCTTTCCGTCCTGGCACAACGATCTTCAGCTTCTCTGGAGGGGAAAAAAAAACTTCGTTCCAAAAGAAAACAAAAAAAAAACGAGATTTAATTAATCGTCCCCGGCGACGGTTCTCGTGGAAATAATTTTCGTCCAGACGATCCAACATTTTTCCGTCCAGATGAACCATACAGGAACAGAACAGTTTTTCCTTGAAACAAACACTGTAACGCGATGCGTCATACCGGACGATCCAACTTATTCGTCCCTGGACGACCTTGGAAGCAAAACTGACAATTTGACAGGAAATAGGAAACCTAAAAACTTGAACTCACTGACACAGGATACAAACCTTACCCATTCTCAGAATCATTTTGGCCTAAATGTTGTAAGAAATAGATGGCGGAAGAGAAATGGATGGAGGAAAAAGGTAGGATTAGAAGGTAATCTTAACAGTCGAGATCACCACTCACCGCCCTCAGGTTAGGAGGAGAGAGAGAGAGGAGAACGGCAAGGGGCTGCCGGCAATCGCATACTCACCCAACCAGTTTTCGATTGCAGCCGCATCGCTGCTGGCTGAGGTTTGGGGCTCGACGTACCTTTAAAAAGCCTATCACCGTGATTGGAATGGAAAATGGGAAGTGCTATCGTATGCGCAGTTGAAACACGTGACGATTTTGTCAGTATCGATTGGAGATTGGACGGTGTTTGCTAAAAAACAGGTAGTTTATCATAATCAAAGATGGTAAAATTGGACCCAACCGAATTAAAATTAGAATGAGAGGTTTAAAAATTTGGATCAGTCGAATCGGGGAAAACAAAATAATAAAATCATAATATATGATATTAAAATAATATTCTAATTAATAAGTAGATAAAATTTAAATAAAAATTCAATATATATATAATCCATAATATATATCAAGTTAAATAGGGAAATAATGATTAACATAATACAAGCTATAATGTAAATATATTAAATTAATCCACTATTTAATTTTAAATTTAAAATCATCAATATTTATAATCTCTTGGGGATTTAATTATATCAATATCCTTACCTTTGATCTTTTATCTTCATAGTTTAAGTAGAAATCTCATTTTCTATATAAATAAATATTAAATTTAATATAAATAATTACAAATTTTGGTATTATATTTTGGGGTATAAAACATCAAAACTATATGTTGTCATGTTTATAAATTATATTATAAAGTACAACCAGCACATTTTAGTTTTTAATCTTATTTCATGTTTTCTTAATATGATTTAACTTCATATTTTAAATTTAGTTTTCCAAGGAGGACCTTTAGTTTGTTGATCTAGACTGGTTTTTTCAGGAGGACTCATGTACCGGCCACATACCGGTTCATGATAAACTAGTCGAAATTGCGCCGATCCGATCTGATTTTTCAAAACAATGGATATATATTCAAAATTTAAGTTTTTTTTTTTTGGGACATTTATATCAATTGAGGCAAATTCAAGTCTTAATATATGAATAGTTTTTAGATGTAATTTATACCTAAATATATATAACATAAATTTGTAATTATTTATATTTAATTATATAGTTTATATAAAGAATTAGATTTCCTATTAAATTGATGATTAAATCAAAGATTACTAAATATTGATCTATAATTAAATCAGAAAGATTATATAAATATTGATAATTTTAAAATTTAAAATTAATATTATTTATATTAAATATATAATTATATATGTAATAAATTATTTCTTTTAACTTTATATATATTATATATATATATATATATAATATTATATATATATAATATATCTATATATAATATATAATATATTTAATATATATATATTATGAATTTATTTAATTTTTTATCATTATTATTAGATTAATTTGATTAATTTTAAATTATTATTATTTTTAATGTTATTCCGAATTCGATGAATCAATTTTAAAACCTCTTCTATTTTTCAATTTATTGGTTGGTCCAATTTTTACAATCTATGATTATGATAAATTACCTGTTTTTTTTAGCAAATCACCGTCCAATTTCCATCGAACGACAAGATACTCGTCACGTGTTTCAACTGCGCGACTACGAATAGCACTTCATTTTCATCCAATCACGTGAAGCTTTAAGGTGGAGCCCCAACCCACCGCGAGCGGTGAGTTATTCTGCCGGAGGCCCCTGCCGTTTCTCTCTCTTCCTCTCTCTCATCCACCTAACCGGACGCGGTGGCGATCCTCGACCTGTAAGATTTATCCTTCTAATTATCTCTACTCTTTTTCTCCATCTTCTCTTCCGTCCATCTATTTCTTAACAAGCTTTCCAGGCCAAAGGATTCTGAGATGGGTAAGTTTGCATCCTGTCGTTGAGATCAAGTTAGGGTTTTCCTATTTCCATCGGCGAGGGGTTTTTTTTTTTTTCCGATTCTGGCGTCTCCATGTTTTCGTTGTTATTCGTTTTGGGAATTTGATGGGGATGGGATGAATCCAATGGTTTTTTGTTTGTTTGTTTAGTCATTATTTCGTCAGATTTTTGCTCTCTACTTGCTTCGCGAGCTGGAATGAACAATTTTTTTTTTGAACTGACCATCTTTTTTGGGATTTGGGGTTTTTACCGCGATCCTGAAGTAATTTATCAACGCCTTCTTCTAAACTAGGGGGTTTCTTTGTTCCCATGTTTATTGTGAGATAAAGAAGATACCAGTTTAAGGGGAAATTGAATCGGATATTATAAGAGTGAAAAATCAAAAGCATGAGCATTTAATTGGAGGTCGGTGATGGTGCAAGTTTGTTGTTCATTGATGCGAACCTTCTTGCTATTAAAATCCCCCTCACACCCACACAGACTTCTGGATTGGGTTAACTTAAGGAAGCTGAATAATTGTGTTCGGCAAAACTTCAAATGCTTGAATAAAGATTAGAATTTGTTGGCTTTGGATACCTTAACATTTGCAGGTTCAGATTTTTTTTTTCTTAGCAGCTAAATCTGTTACTTTAGAATGAGATACGACATAAATATGGATCTTACTTTCTTAATTCAATTTCCCTTCCTCATTATGTTGGCTCAGTAATACTCATTCATTTGAATATTACTTTTCATGACTTGTGACACTTAAGTTTGTTTCCAATACCGCGGGCCCTCATTGTCTAGGTTATCTAGATAACAAAACATGGCTGAGCACCATGCTTCTGTGGAGGCAGATGAGCAGATTGACCTTGATGGTGACAATGACATTGAAGACATGATGGATGATGAAGATGCTGGAGATGAAGATGGATACAGGAGGGTAAGGGATGAGTACAATGAAGAAGAGCAGAATGATGAATACCGTGAAGAAGAAGAAGATCACGAATCTGAAGGTGAAGGGGATGATAAAGTTTCATCATCTGATGAGCTAAATAATACTTCTAGCCCTTTGAAGGATGAAGAGACAACTAAGAGAACAATTGATGAGGAAGAAAGGCAGAAGCATGCTGAACTGCTGGCTCTTCCTCCGCATGGATCTGAAGTTTTTGTTGGTGGCCTACCACGTGATGTGACAGACGAAGAGCTGAGAGATCTTTGTGAATCCTTTGGTGAAATATATGAGGTAAAAGTGTTCTATTTCTTGAGCTACAACTGCTACTTCCAGGAAATAGTGTAATTTTCTGATTGTTCAGGTAAGGCTAGTGAAAGATAAGGATAAAAAGGAGAGCAAAGGTTTTGCTTTCATTGTATTCACAACGAAGGATGCTGCACAGATGGCCGTTGAAGAGATCCAGGACAAAGATTTTAAGGTAATGTTCCGTGTAGCTGGCCGTTTTCCCTTCCACCCCCTTTTTTGTGTGGATTTTTAGACCCTGTTCTTTCAGGGGAGAACATTGAGATGTTCCTTGTCACAAGTTAAACATAGATTGTTTATTGGAAATGTACCAAAAAGTTTAGCTGAGGAAGAATTGAAGCGAATCCTTGAGGAGACTGGTCCTGGAGTTGAAAACATTGAATGCTTCAAGGTACCTTTTCCCTTTGTAGGACTCAATCAGTCTGAGATTTTTGATCACATTCTTTTGAAACTCTGTTGCAGGACCCACAAAATCCAAGCCGTAATCGTGGATTTGTCTTTGTTGAGTACTACAACAATGCATGCGCTGATTATGCACGGCAGAAAATGTCAAGATCAAATTTTAAGATTGATGGAAGCACTCCCACTGTTAGTTGGGCTGACCCTAAAAATTCAGCTGATGCTTCTGCTGCTGCTCAGGTAAAACCATTATATATAATATGAATTTGTTCACAACTCAATTTGCAGAGAGGAATGAAGTCCTGCATGGAAAGTAAACTTATTTTACTTTTAATGTTTGTTTCATGGATTACTTCTGGATAGATGATATAGTTTTAGCCCTTGAATACTTCCTAAAATCTAAAATATGCTTTATTGGGTTGATTGAGGTTTAATGAGATGCTAATGAACCTTGTTGTCTGAAACATGTTCTTTAGAAGTTTAAGGGGATTTCTTAAATATTTATATAAAAAATGTTTGAAAAGGTGAACACTGAGAAAAGGACTGAGTGGTATTTTCAAAATTATTGCTTTATGCCAATTTTTAAATTCTTGTGTCAACTATTTTAAATGGTTTTTAAAATAAAAATAATATTTTTTATTGTTAGCAACAACATGAATATTTTTTGCTAATCTACTTTCATCAAATTTCATCATAATTGACCATTTGTTATGGTTGTGAGAAAAAAAAAAACAATGGTAATTGGATGATATATTAGATCTCACGCGAAAGTGTTGTTTTGCCCATGTAGCACCACCACCAACAACAACAACATCAAGCTTTTGTCCCTCTATGTGAGGTTGGCGACATGAATCCTTTTTCTCAATTGTGTCATGTTAAGAATCAAATTCTCATTTAAATCTAATAAAAAAGAGTCATTTTTAACCAAGTCTTTTTAGGTCTACCTTTACCTTTCTTAACATAGGTCAAATCTAATACATCTACTCTCATAATCGTGTCATCAAAAATCCGGTGCTTTATGCGACCAAACCATCTAAGGCGACTCTCTCTAATCTTATCTGCCACTGGAGCTACTCCAACCTTTTCTCTTATGTACTTGGTTCACATTCTGTCTTGAGTAAAATTATAAATTATAATCTAAATAGCATCGAAACCCAAGTATTTAATTCCAAGCTATTTGACAGACTCTACATTGAAAATACAATTATCTCATGTTATAATAATTATCAATTTAAAAAAAATGTGATGCATATCATGCATTCAATTAATGATTTATTAAAATCATGTATGCCAATGATTTTAATGATATAAATGATAATGTGTTGTCTTGATATTACATTTAAGGTCAAGAATTTTATAACAATTCATTGGTTATATATTTAGTGGGTCAACAACCATGCATATGTGCTCATTTGTACTTTTAGGTAGACATTTATTCGTATAAGGAAGTTATAAGTCACACAAAAAAATTTGTTAGGTAAAGTAAAAGCTATTATTTGGCAATTTGTATAACGAGTACATATCCTTGAAGAAAAAAAAACGAGCTATATAAAATAGCTATTGCAAAATATTAAACTTTTATAACTTTGCTAAAGTTACATGCATAGAAAATGATGGTAGTATGGATTTATTTAAATATGTAGAGATCGAAGAAATATGTGAACACTATTCTAAAGAAATATTAAATAAGAGTTTAATGAAGATATCTTTTTCGAAGAGCATAATGAATAGAATTATTAAATAAGAGTTTAATGAAGATATCTTTTTTGAAGGGCGTAATGAATAGTATAATGATTAATGAGCTATTATGTATTTTTTCAAAATGGTGAAGTGGATTTAGCTTTGTTATAGATGCATGAAGCTAAAGTTTAGGTCCTTGTGAGATATTTATTTAGATTTTACATTTGTAAGCAATATTGAAGTAATTTAGTTAATAGATTTTGTGAATGAATTTTAAGAGTAAGATGATTTAAATGTAATCCTAAGCTCAATAAGCTAAGTTTTTGGGACTCTTAAGAGATATATATTACAAGATTTTTCTACTATCTTCTAAAATTTTTTAATTTTTGATGCACTCATTTTAAATATTAATGACTTTTTAACAACCCAACATGCACATCCATGTAACATCGCCAATCTAATTATGATTTTATTAAATTTACCTTTAAGACTTTATGGTATTGTCATATCACATACAGATTTTAAGACACTTTTTCATCTTAACTATTTGGCTTTAACTCTAGAAGTTATATTCTTGTCTATATTTCCATTCTCTTGTATAAAAATTCAATATATTAAATCTATCATACCTAGGCATCAACTTATCTTCTAATAATGTTACATGAGTATTGTTAAATTGACACCCATTAAAATTCCATACCATTCACTTAATCATTGCTTAACTAATTATTAGACTTTTATCTTCTAAATATTTTCTCAAGTATTCTAATTTTTCACTTGTTTTTGTGGATGGTTCACTTATTAGAATTATCTGATTTGCAAAAAGGATGCTATAAGCTGCTCCATTTTAATAATTTTTAAGCCTCTCTATAATCAGTTCAAAAATATATTGAATATCAATGTACTCTTGTCTGCATCATTAACCCATATATGTTTTAACGCTTACCTTTCTATTGATGCTATGACCCCTTGTACTACGACTCTTATTTTCCATTAATGCTATGGCTCATTATTTGATGACCCTTGGACCCCTTCCCCACAAAGTCTTTTAGATAATCATCCTTTTACTCTTCAAATAACTTCTATTTTTTTTTCCGCTCCAGGGGATTCGATCGTGATATGCGTCCTCCTAAATTTGTAGATTATAAGTTGGAGATTCATAATTGTCTCTATTTTTGTTATTATCATTTTCATGTATTTAATTTTGTGCTTATCATGCATTTTCGTTTTGTTTGTTCTCCAGTAACTTAGTGATATGTATAGTTCTTAATGTATGTTTGCATGTAAGTGCATTTTAGTTTTTTAATCTGCTTGACTCCTCTGTATAGGAGTTTGCGTTCTCATTTTAGATGTTGCAAAATTGAGAACATTTTTCATCCTTCATATGGTTTTGGCTATTTGCATTATGTTAGGTTCCATGGAATGATTGCAAAGTATTTAAGTGCTCCTTGACACAAGATAAGTTCAAGTTTACACACAACATTATCCTTTTTCTCTCAAAATTTTTTCAACTTTCCATCAACATATTCTCTGATATTTATAGCATATGCACCATGATTATGCCACAATGAGGAAATTGAAAATATTCACTAAATTAATTGCACATTCTTTTATAGATTAGGTTACACCAACTGATAAAAAATTGGATAATAAAATGATTGTTTATAGATTTGCTAATAACACATTAATGATCTCTAAGCAATATTGAATGAACCAACTTTCTTTCCTAGAGAAATTCCAAAAATCATAGCAAAAAAATAGCATAATTCAGTGCTGATTATAATGAAGAAAAATAATATACCTATTGAAAATAGGTTGACTTTGTCAAAAAGTTGGCTATGATCTACATAGATGCCATCAATTAAGAAGAATGGAGAGAATTACTGAGTACAATTTTGTTGGGTTATCATTGCAGTTTGAGGATAAGGATATTATGAGCTCTAGTTTCCCGCATAGTAGATGAAGGATCGATTTTCATTTGTAATCAGCCTTATATTATATTTATATGTAACTAGCCTTGTCCCATACTTCTATTTAATAACAAATATTTAGGATATGTTTTTTATCTTAAGAAAATATACTACTGAGTTGAGAAACAAAAAAGAAGGGAGGAGATGAGCCAAATTTATGAGTGAAGAGCTGTTTGATTGGATAGTTTATTTAGCGAATTAGGCGGAGCAATGATTTGCTCTGTAAATACCATATAGGTGGGGTCCTTTTTGTGGCAATAAATTGCCAAATAGGGTACCGTCCCAATAGAATTATTATGGTTGTACAAAGATAAATTTGAATTGATACTTCAATCAACCCAAATTAATTGATTGAATTTGAATTCCTTCATAGTATAGTTTTACAAGGGTCACACAAATATAAATTTAATAGAGCTATAGTTAGATTGTCTATGATTTATGGATTTGAATAATAAAAGTTATGAAGTTAAGGTCTTCTTGGAATTTGATTTGTAATTGATCTTATGCCATCTTATAATTGGCTGTGTTCCCTATTTATCCATAAGTTTTAATTTTTGAGAAATATTTGAGATAGGTTTGTGTTTAGTTTAGAAATAGAAATATGTAAGATGATGAGCCTATCTTAGGGATGAAGAGCTCATTAATTGGATAGCATATTTAGTGAACTAGGTGGAGCAACAACTTTCTTTGTAAATATCAAACGACTGGGGTCATTCCTATGTCAACTAATGCTACAACAAAGAACTGACCTAGTAGCATTGTTATGGGCATGTAAAGGCATAAATTTGAAATAGTACTTGTGAGAATCACAACAGATTAATTTTTAGTGTGGGATTCGAAAGACACACCACAAAGGAAAAGAGCAAATGTACCACATTGGGAGATGGAAACAAACCCCCTCATGGGTTCAGTAAAAGGAAGATGAATTATATGTATATTTCTCCCTTGAATGCTCTGAAAAAGAGGGGACTGTACTATCTAGGAGAGAGAGAAAACAATTCTCTTTACAGATTCAAAAGGTAAATACACATATAATAATAAGTATCTATCCCAAAGATTTTCCCTATCTATCACAAATAAAGTTAGATGAGGTTTATTTAATTTTGAGGCTTAGTTCCCTATAAGAGTAAGTTCCTATAGTTAATTATATCCTAAGGCTTTTAGGCCCTAGAAAACTCTCGATTAAAGTCATGATTGGGTCATAAGATTATCGAAGATAACATGTCATGAAATATTGTATACTCTAGATATCAAATGGGACCACTCAAGCACAGAAAAGATTTGCATTCCAAAGGAAGATAACACTAGGAGCACATAAGCTTAAGAGGCTCAATATACCCAAAAGAAAGCCTCAACCTATGTTAGGCTTTATATTTTAACAATTATCCTATTTAATCCTAGGTTAAAATTGATCATTTTATTAGAAAATAAGGCTTGCTATCATACCACAATGTCAACTATTCCATTTGGATTGCCCATAAGAGAACTAGTACACCATAAAATGATGCTAGCCTCGAATCTAAATCTATTGTAGGGACTTAATATACATCTATGGTATTAGGGCTGTCAATATTTGACACGACACGAAAATTCGACCCGGACCCGACTCGAAAATTTCGGGTTCGGGTCAACCCGAACCCGAACCGGGTCGGGTTCGAGTTTTCGACCCGTTTGAAAAACCGAGTCGGGTTCGGGTTGACCCGGAAACCCGGAAATGACCCGAAATGACAGCCTCGACCGCTGCTGCTCGCCGGCCCGCCGTCCCATCACGCTGTGAACCGCCGTCCGCCGAAACGCCGAACCCGCTGGCGCTGCGAAATCGCGAACCCGCGCCGCTGCCCGGGTCGTGTCGGGTTGACCCGAACCCGAAGCGGGTCGGGTTCGGGTCCAGGATTTCGACACGTTTGCCTACCCGGGTCGGGTTAGGGTCAACCCGATTGAACCCGGGTCAGTTCCGGGTTCGACCAGAACCCGAACCGTGACCCGAAATTGACACCCCTATATGGTATAGCCCTCTACATAGTCTAATGCAAATGTGCGATCGGACTTACGACTCAAAAAGGGGCTAAAGATGCCCATGGCAGGGACTTACTATTCTGCCTGGAAATGACAACTATCTAAGCCCACCTAAGCACATTTAAATTAATGAATTCAAGTCTCTATGCAAATGCAAGATAGGGTGGATGTTATTATTAAGAATAAGACTTATAACCCCGCCACTAAAGCAAGGGCTGTTCGACCATGTGTGGACATGAAATGCTTATGCAATTTTTTTTGGTTATCTTACTATGAGTGGATTTGCCAAAAAAGTAAATCTAACATGCTGACTCACTAGGCTATGCATGCGGGTGTCAGTTTGGGGTTTTTATTGACTTGAGATTGGGTTGATTATTATTTTAAAAAATAGCTTTAAAGAAAGCCATGCATTTTTTATTTTTTTAAAGAAAATAATCATTTTTTCCTTTTTAAGTCAATTGGTTATTTATTGTAGAAAGTTTAACATCCTAAGAGCCTAACGAGGACACAAGTCCATGCCACCCCAAAGCAAAAAAAAAAAATAAAGAAACCTAAGAAAAATCATGCAATTCTAGTGCGCAAGCAAAATAAAAAAAATCAATCACCATATAATAAAGTAATAATAGAGGACATAAGTGGAGTTTGGTTCTGCAAAACATCCCAGTAAAGAAAAAAAAGTAGCTGAACTCTACTATAATTATAACTCAACCTAAAACTATATATAAATAAAATGATATGTGGGGTCTTGAACTCGTCTATCTACATCAGCAATTGGCTCCTGCCTTCTAAAATAACCCACATACCTACATAGTTTTCCTAAACTAAAATTACATGATTAAAAAATAAATAAATATTACCCCTACAAGATAAGATAAAGTTAGCACAATAAAATATATATCCACATAATGCTTGGCATAAATTAGTGCCAAGCTATATCCATAGCTCCTATTGGCCGTGCCTAATTAGGGCTTGAGCTTATTATGATAGCACTTGCAAGCAAGATTGATTATGCATAATTATATAACTTTATTTGCCCTTTCATAAGCTTGGCCACCTGCAAATCAAAACCATATACATATAGTTCTATCATAACCATTTAAGTGAGGATATGCATACAGGAGTTGTTATCTGTGTTCAAACACAAGGTGATTTGACCAAGTATTTTAGTTGGTTTACATCAAGGATAAGTTTTAAGCCCATATCTTTTTGTTTATTCATGGAAGTTCTTACTATACATTTGCAAGACCTTAGTGTATGCTTTTTGCTGATGATATTCTTCTTGTTCATAAGACTAGAGAGGGAGTTGATGAAAACTTGAATTATGGAGGCCACTTGTAAAGTTTAAAGGTTTTTGTGTGGGTACATCTAAAATTGAATACATGGAGTGTATTTTATTAGTAATAGATCTAGTGGTAGGATTGTGAATTGGGTGATTAAGTCAATTAAAAAGAGTGCATATTTTAGATATCTTGGGTATATTGTTCAAAACGATGGTGAGATAGGTGAGGATGTTATTAGTAGAATTTAAGTTGGATGTTTGAACTAGAGGAATGTATCGGGCATGTTATGTGATTGAAAAGTACCATTAAAATTTAAGGGAAAATTTTATAAGATGGTGGTGAGACCTACAATGCTTTATGATGTTGAGTGTTGGCCATTAAAAGAGAAGGATAAAATTAAGTGTTGTAGATATGAGGATGCTAAGGTGGATGAGTGACTTTACACTTAGAGAGAATGCAAATTGAGTTTATAAGTGAAAATGTTTGGATAGCACCAATGATAGATAAGATTAGAGAGAGTCGCCTTAGATGGTTTGATCACATAAAATATCCGCCTTTTGTTGACTCTATTAGGAGAGTGGATGTATTAGATTAAGCCTATGTCAAGAAATGTAGAGGTATACCTAAAAAAGTTTTATTAGAAAATATTAAAAATTATATTTTTTTATTAGATTTAAATGAATTTGATTCTTAATAGAATACAATAAAGAAAAATGATTCATGTAGCCGACCTCATATTGTGAGATAAATACTTGTTGTTATGCACACACATACATGTACATATATGTATATGTATATGCTCTATCCATTCCATGCCAAGCTTGAAATTGGCTCTAAGATCAGATTGAGCCAAAAATTTGGAGTATGGTTCGGCTTGTTTGGCTTGATCTAAACAAAAAATTTATTGTCTTCGAATAATCATTAATATTCGAATTAAAATCTTCACCCTACAAGTAAACATATATTGGAGATGAGATTGTGGGATGCACTTGTATATTTGGGCATCTACAAATGAACTCAACTGATTCCCATTAAAATAGGTAGATAGAATTAATGTAACATGATTAAAAGGTATATGAAGGTAGACTAAAGGTAACTAGGAGTAAAAATTGTGGAGGAAGACATGCATATAATTTAGGAAGATTCTTAGAGTTTGCCCCAAATTGGACCGATGAGGTTAATGATTGTTGGATTGTATTATGAAGCACTGACATTCTGTTCACATCAGCATCATTGTAGTCCTACATGGAAGCTTTGTTTTATGTTTTTTTTTTTTTTTTAGTTTTTAATGTATGGGTTGCTAGTTTCTACCAGGATACGGTATCCTTGCATCTGTTTTGATGAATCTGTAAATTTAGTTGGAGAAGGCTTGGATGATCAGGTTCTTTTTGAAATTTATTAAGCAAATACTGTAGGTATGTTGAACTGCATCAGTGCAACAGAATTTGGTTATAAAAGGATAGACTAGCTCAAATGAAATATTATTTAGTGAAAAGTTATTATTCTGACAAAAGAAATTAAATGTAGTTCCTGTTGGTGAAGGATTTTCCTTGATCCCTCTTTGGTCTTTACTTCCATCTTCTCGTAAGCAGCTTAAAAGCAAAATTTTAACTTGCAATAGATATTCGAATTTATATTTTGAAGGACTTTTGAACTTCTTAGTTTTCAATGTTTTGGCAATCTGGGTTTTTACAGGTGAAGGCTATCTATGTGAAAAACTTGCCAGAAAGTGTTACGTCAGAAAAGTTGAAGGAAAATTTCGAACGGCATGGGGAGATTACAAAAGTTGTTCTTCCACCAGCTAAAGCTGGGCAAAAGAGAGATTTTGGGTTTGTTCATTTTGCTGAGAGATCTAGTGCTCTGAAGGCAGTCAAAGGAACTGAGAAATATGAAATTGATGGTAATTTCCTTCCATTTTCAGTTTCCCACATGTTCAGTACTACCGCTTTGTAAAAAATAACAAGCTGTGTCAAGTTCATCAGATGATTATGTATGCTTGAAGTTTGTAATTTACTTTTTTGTGACTTTTGTGCTACAGGACATACAATAGAGGTCTCCCTGGCAAAACCTCAAACGGACAAGAAGTCAGAAAGCCAGCATAAGCCTGGACTTCTTCCGAGTTATCCTGCACTCCCTCCTTACGGCTACTCTGCAGATCCTTATGGGGCTTATGGTGCTGGCTATGGTGCAACTGGATTGAGACAGGTTTGATTTTGCTTTTTTTTTTTTTTTAATTAATTTTTTGAGCACCTCCATAGAAATGTACCACCTAAAATCTTTTGTCCTGCTTATCTTGAGCGGTCGTAACTGACCAACTTTCAAGCGTTTTTCTATCTGATTGCTGTTGTCAATTGGTTCTTTACCATGTAGCCTATGATATATGGGAGAGGTCCGATGCCTGCTGGAATGAGAATGGTGCCAATGGTTCTACCTGATGGGCGCCTTGGTTATGTTCTGTAAGAATTACTCTTGGGATACACTTTTATTTCAATCTTCGGGTTCGTTTGGGGAAGCTTTCATACTGCTTTTTAAAAAGGCTTTCATGTACAAAAAATTCAAATTCAAGAAATTTTTGTACTAGAAAGCCGTTTTAAAAAAGAAGAAGAATGCCAGTCCCAGACGAAGCCTTCATTAAATGATGATTGCAATATATACTTTGCTTTTCAACTTTTTCAGGCAGCAACCAGGAGCGCAGCCACCACCTCCGCAAGCACATCGAAGGAGCGACCGGGGCGGCGGATCTAGTGATAGCGGCGATAGGGCGCGAGATGGAAACCGCGGTCGAAGATACCGCCCTTACTAGAAATCACAACCAGCATTTGCGGACAGTCGTTATTTATCTTGTTGGTATTCTGCATCTAAGTATGTTTGTCTTGTCCCAATGCGGCAATACATTAAGAAACTTATCTGAGTGATAACTGTAGCTTCAGTTGAGAGATATTTATTATTACTATCACCAAAATATGAATACACTGATGTTTCCTTATGTATTGTTACTTTTTTCGATTGCTATTCTCTTGTTATTTGAGATTGACAGCTATAACTAGCAGCTTGAAGTTAAACTGTCTGAACTGCAGCTGTGATCGATTTCTGCTCTATAATTTGTTTTACTGGCTATCCTATTTGTTTTTAGTGGTCTGACATAGGCTTCGTTTGGGATGATTTTTTTACTGCTTCTTAAAATAGTTTTTTAATACAAAAATTTAATTTTGTACCAAAAAGTGCTATTTAGAAGCAGGAAAAAAACGGTCTCAAATGAAGTGAGACAAAGTCATAGTTTGCTTATTAACGCTGCACGATTATGCTTTTTGGATAAATTTAACATCATGTTGCGGCCCGTTTCTATTTTATTTTTTTAGAAATAATAAAGTTTATGGTTTTTAATTGGATTAATTTATATTATGGTGCTAGAATTTTGGTCAAGTGAAATAATATTAATGAAAAACAAATGAAAGCGGCCTGTTTCTCCTGAACAACACAGCCCTCTAGTTTGCTGTACTTTTATTTTCTTCGTTCAGTGTGTGTTAAATTTTTTTTTTTTCTATTGTGTCATGTTAAAAATTAAATTTTCGATTAAATTTAATAAAGAAATATTATTTTTAGTATTTTCTAATCAAGTCTTTAAATGTATACTTTTATCGTTTTTAATATAAGTCAAACTTAGTACATCTATTTTTTTAACCGGGTCATTGGAAGGTTGTTGTTTTATATGATCAAATCATCTAAGATGGCTCTCTCTAATCTTATCTTCCACTCACGCTACTCTTCATGTATATGCTTATTTCGTATTTTATATTTAAGGATAAAGCCACTCATCGATCTGAGCATTCTCATCTCTGCAACACTTAACACGTATATGCTTATTAGTGTGTTTGATGTAACAAGAAAAAAGATATCTAAATTTCGGATTTAACAATGATTGTTAGGTGTAGGTAAACATACATATAAGATGTATTTTTTATGGGAATGTGGAAAATAGTTTTCATGGATATTAATTATTATGTGGGGGTGGAACCATGCTTAGTTGAGGGTGGGGTAATTGCCCAATATTAAAATTACAGTTTTAATAAATAAGAAGAGTTATTTAGGTAATTTTGTCACCCAAACTTTTATGTTGCCCAAAGTTAGGAGTTATTTGGCTGCAGCATTCGAGTAGGATTTAGGCTTGATTTAATCGAAATCCTATTAAACAACAAAATTGACTACTCTAAACTATACAGAAATGTAAATCTAGTTGCTTCTCCATTTTATCTTAAATTCTAGATCTTATAAATGTTGTAGCTCAGGAGATTTGTGCAAATGGGGAGAGTTAGTTAACTCTGTGGTGAGCTCCTAATGTGGATTAATTATTCTGTGCGGATGCTAATCGTCATTTGGAGACAAATTAGAATGCGTCACGTCATCTCTGTGTTCGGTACCGTTGAAGTTGTGCATTCTGATTGGTCTTCGGACGACGTTCTGCGTCTGATTCCACACAGAATAATTTTTTCCTAATGTAACTTTCAATTTGATAGGAAAAATGTCTTCATTGAAGGAGGGGAAGAAGCATGCTTTAACGACTCTTTCACAACTCTATTTAATGTGAAGTCGAAGCAGCGCAAAGGAATGTTCACGAGGAAAAGCGAGTCCTAGATGGTCCTACGACTCTTAAGAAGAGCTATAAATAGAGTAGTCGAGTATAATATTTATGTTAGATGCGTTTAAAATTCAAGATGTATAGAAACAAATGGTAAGAGATTTGAAATTTTTATATGAGAATTCAAGAAAAGAAAAAAAATTATTGGGTTGACCCAATTATAATAATTCACCATATAAAAGAAGAAATAAGAATTTTTTTCCCAAGTGAAGATAATGAGATTTGTTGTGTACCAGAACATTTGCAGTGGTAGAGAGATGAGGTTTAACATTCTTGCTTTGCATGAATATTCAATATACACAGAGATAAAAGAGTTAGAGATATCAGGATTTTTACATAAAAACTCTAAAACAGGAAAAAATCATAGAGCCTTAACGAGTTAAAATTAATTCGCTCGTGTTTCTTAATCGTTACAAAGGATGCCCTTCCTATGGGGAAGGTGATGGCTCAAGTAGTAAATATACATTGTATATATCACATTACATGTTTGAAATTAGAAAAATCCAATGGCATGAGAGGTGTCCTCAAGAGAACATTATCATGTTCATTTGTTTGGTAGAACCGTAGGAGGGAGGCAATGGTAGTGAGAGAGATCATGGTCAAAGGGACAATAGTTGGGCAATGGAGATCGGAGGGACCCTAGTCAGGTGATGGAGGTCAGAGGGACTGTAATTAGGCGACAGAGGTTGGATGGACCGTAGTTGGGCGATAAAGGTCAGAGGGATTGTATTTGAGCAACATATGTGGAAGGACCATTGTCAAGTGACAAAGGTCAGAGGGATCGTAGTCGACAAATAGTAGAGGTCGGAGGGACCATAATCAGAAGACGATAGATGTCAGAGGGATCGTAGTTGGGTGAAGGAGGTCGAAGGGACCATTATCGGGTGACAGAGGTCAGAGGGACCACAGTTGACAGATGATGGAGTTCAAAGGGAAGTAGTTAGACGACTGAGGTTGAAGGGACCGTTGTCGAGTGACAGAGGTTTGAAGGATTGTAGTCGGCAGGTGATGAAGGTTGGAGGGATTGTACTCAACTAATGATAGAGATCAGAAGGATAGTTGTCATGCAACAGTGGTCAGGGGGATCGTAGTCATGGATGATTGCGGTCGGAGGGTCCGTAGTGGAGTGATGGAGGTAGAGGAACCATAGTCTGGATGCTAAGGTCAAAGGGTCTTTTGTTAGGTGATAAAGGTTAGGGGACCAGAGTCAGTGGTCACTATGGTCAGATGCAACATAATTAAGTGACGGAGGTCGGAAGGATAATAGTTGGTCTATTGAGGTCAAAGAGACTGTTGTAGGGTTTAGGAGGTTAAAGGGACAGTAGTCTGCTGACGATTATGGTCGGATGGACCTTAATTGGATGACACAGGTCGGAGGGATCGTAGTCGTTCAACTAAGGTCGAAGGGACTATTGTAGGAAAATAAGGGTGGATCAAAATCAGTGGGCAATGGAGGTTAAAAGGATAGTGGTCTGGCGATGGAGGTCATAGTGATCATAGTCAGACGACTAAGGTCGAAAGGATAGTTATTGGGTGATAAAGGTTGGAGGGAACGTAGTTAACAGGTGATGAAGGTCAGAGAGATTGTAGTCAGTGGGGACGAAGGTCAGAGGGATCAGAGTCGGGCGAATAAGGTCGAAGGGATCATAGTCATGTGACAAAGTTCAAATGGACCTTAGTCAGACAACAGAGGTTGAAGGGATCATATGTGACACCTCCAAATTAAGTATTTAGTTTAACTAGTTCATACCATATTAGAAAAAGACAATTTCTTAAATCTCAGTGTTTTAAACTCTTTTGCACGTGCTTGAAAATGATTTATATGTATGAAAATTGTTTCAATGCCTTTTGGAGTGGGTTTTAGGGGTTTGAATATATCTTTGATCTTTTTTCTTTTTGTGTGGAGCAGTGCTGTGTTATATTTTCTGGTGCCTCAACGGTGTGCTCTTTGTCGTTTTCAAAATGAACTAGCACGTTAGAGTACCTAGGCATTGGGTCATTTTTGCACTTACAAATATCCAAATACACTATTCCGTTCTCTTTGTTTCTTTGAGCAACCGAATAAGTGAGAGAAACAGAGGGATTTTATAAAGAGAAAGATGAATTTTGAGTCGCTTCATATTTTTTTAGCCGTTGGCCCAGTTCTAAAAGTTGTCAAGACAGTAGTAGGTCACAATATACTTATCTCAGTTAAAAAAAAATATGAAAATTTTCCTAATTTTTTGATTAAATTTATATTTTCATTACAAAAAAATGACGATAACTTTGTATTAGTAAAACTTTCACGACATAACTTTTCATATGTTATAGAGAGAGATTCTGAGCATTTGAATATTTTATGGAAATTTTACACTAAGGGTTTTAAAATACATGCAAATTTTATTGAATAGAAAATAATATGAACTTTGAAAAATAATGTTATAATGTAATTAAAGTCTTAAAATAATGCTATGCATAATCTCTATAAATTTGGTTATATTTTGAAAATATGTATTTTTTTTAGTAGAGTTTTTTGTTGTCGATAGTTAGTGTATTTTGGCAAATTATGGAATATGTTTATAATTTTTTTTTTAAATGTACTATAAAAATGTCCCAAATAGAAGAAATTATTTTATGAGATTACGGTCATTGGACATTCCGTAGACGAATTAGGAAGCGCCACATCATCAAGTACATAACGGTACACAACACCGGTATAAAATAAAAAAATAACTTGCCACTTCCTAATTCAACTCTGGACGCAGTCCAATAAACAAGCAGAATAATTTGTCCCCAAAGAGAGCCCAAGAAAGTAGTATATATCAGCTTTCGTATTATTTTTTAAAAAAGTTTTGTACCAAAAAAACTTATTTAAAAAGTAGTAATAGAGCTGTTTCAAACTTTTTTTTTTTTTTTTTTTTTTTCACATTTTGTTATTATGATTTTATCTAACCCCTAAAAACACCATATGCATGATTACACTCCCAACTACATAAATTCCTTCAGAAGACGGCGAGCGGGGTTCCTAATCAACGCCACACCGTCCATTCGCCTTCCAAATTAACCTTACAACACAAACACCAACAATTCAAGCCGTCGCAGCGCCGGCAAAGAACGCCAGAGCGCCGACCATGGGAGCATTTATATATGTGGTGGGCTCCGATTGCTGATAATTGGCCCGGTCATCGGCGAACCCATCGTTGCTATCTGGCCCGCCCACAATGGCTCCGACAAGAACGTTGGGGTTCGGCGAGCTGGAGTGCAAGTACTGGAATCCATCGTTACAGGAAATGTGGCCCGGAAGCGCGCGGGTCGACGGGATGGAGGATCCGCGGTGGTGGACGTGGAGCGGGTATTTGCCGCCGAAGCCCACCATGTATGATATCTTTGCAGGGTTCTCGCCCAATATGTAGTCCACCTGCCACACAAATTTATGTAAGGCGTGTAGTTTATATCTTTGCAGGGTTCTCGCCCATTTGCTTATATTTTAATCATAAGCAAATGGAGAGAGGATGGGGAGATAGTACAGAGGAAGAGAGGGGTAGCCAATAAGAGAGAACGAAGAAATTTTTTAGGAGCTGGCAGAAGAGAGAGAATCTACTTCTTAAAGAAAATATTGATAGTGAACTTTTACAATATAATCGTTACGAATTTTATATAAGATCACATAACTTAATTTATGAATATTATAATCTTCATTTGATCGTTTTGCTTTACCTGTTTCTTAGCTAGAGAGATGAGAGTTGAAGCAGAGACTGTGGTGGAGCCGCAATTGGTGTATCAGTGCCTGCCCGGCTGCCCGAGGACCGCCTGCCCCCTACCAGGTTGCCCGCTCACCCTTGCCCTGCCCGCGCGCCCCTGCGTGCTGCCCGCGCTCGTCCGTGCTAGCGCACTCGCCCCGCGCGGCCGCCCCTGCTGCTCGCGTCAGCGCTAGGTCACCCGTATCAACGCCTGCATCCGCGGCCCGCCTTCCTGTGTCAGGTCGGGTCAATCTGGCAACCCGTCGGGTCAGGTCCGGGTTCGAATTTCTGACCCGTTTACCTACCCGGGTCGGGTTAGGGTCAACCCGTTTGAACCCGGGTTAGTTCCGGATTCGACCCGAACCCGACCCGTGACCCGAAATTGACACCCGTAATTAAAATGGAGAAGCCGAGCTCGACTAGTTGGCCGCAACATGGAGTTTATGGTTTTTTAAGCGTTTGTTTGGGGGTGGGGGGGAATTATTAGGTACGGACACCAACGGAGATAACTATCTAGTTTTCTCTATGCATGCAGTCTGAGCGCAGTTACTGTAGCAGCTGTGTCTTGACTGTACTTTTACTGTTGATAGAGAAAACCAAACTGTTCTCTCCTTCTGGTGTCCTAACCTAATAATTTCTCTTGTTTGGGATGACTACAATATTTTATAAAGATGATTGTGAAAATGTTGTGCCAAAAATAATTTTTATTTTTATGTTGTTGTAAATATTATAAATATATTTTTATAAGAAGTATACCTGGTGTATATTGAGCTTGGAAGCCACTTGATCCTGGCACCAGAGAGCATATGTAGTTGTCTGTGTGGACCTTGTAAAGCTGCAGCCCTGCAACTTTTTGTTCCAGGAAGGCCTGTGGACGCCAGAACCCCAGTTTGATTAATGAAAGAGCCTTTGCTCTGTTTTCTCAACAAGAAGAGGATATAATTGAGCTGTTCAATTACCTTAGAAAGCAGAACTTTGGTGCCCACTCGCTTATCATCCCAGCTGAAGGAGAAATCGTCGTCTTCAGCACCCAAGACATGGCCATTTGACTTGATGTAGGACATGTAACTGGCATTTCCTGAAGCTCGTTGAAGCCATGCTGCTCCCCATAGAAGCTCATCCTGGTTCATTATTTCGTTTTAGCTTGAAGAATGTTCATTTACGTTTGAATTTTTATAAAATCTTATATCAGAAATAGAATCTGACGATTCTTATTTATGATCTTATTCAAGTTTATGAGCTTTGATTTGGTAGATATCCATAGATAATCCACTCTTGAACATTGTTCAAACATGAAGAAAAGCCTAAGATTTACGAAGGACTCTATATATCGGTTGGCCGCTTACTTGGTATCCAGAGTACGAGCAGTAGAAGGGGCACACCACCGAGCTGAGAGAATCACTGTAAGATCCTCTGAATCTGTCCGCAAAATCAAACACCTGAAGCAAAACAAACGAACGCTTTTAAGAAAGTGGATCAGAAATGACAAGTACGAGTGCTAATTAGTTGAGAGTTGAGACCAAAGATGTTACCTTTTTGGCAGTTTGCAGAAGTCTGGACGAGTACGAAGGATCCGAGTGCTGAAAAACGATGGACGCCGCGGCCAACGCCGCCGCTGTCTCCGCCGCAACGTCTGAGCCTGGATTCTGATTCGTCACCTTGTAGATGTTGCGAGGGGTGTCCATGTCCTCAGGTCTCTCCCAGCACCGGTGATCAGCGTTTGGATCAGCTACCTGTATTACAGTATTAGATTATTAAAATTATCTATCCTCTCTACTGTATTAGTATACTATTTGTTTGTGATTTTTTTTTTGTAATTTTTTAGAAAGTATTTATTTATTAAAAATTATAAGGCATTAAAAAATATTAAATGGAAATTTTCTACTAATTTTCTTTTTTGAACAATGCCAAATACATTTATAATTAGGAAAAAAAATCAATTATAATTATAATAATACTTCAATTTATTTTCCATATAAGTAAAATTAAATTCACTTAGAATTAATGCATGTGCAAAGAAATATAATCAATATAATTACCATAAATCATATTCAATGGTTGAATATTCCATTATATTCTCTACAATCTTTTATATTAAATGAGTTTCTGCCCAAAGTTTAGATCAAAATAAGAAGGTATTACTTAAAATTAAATATTTAAATAATGATCCCAAACCCAAATAATATCAACTTATACGTCTCTTTAAAGTTCTTACAATTTCTAATTATTATTAATTTGTTTATATATTTGCATACATATCACTGATTTTTTAAAGTATTTATATATATATAAAATATTTAATCTTTAGACTGCATCAAAAATATCAGAAGATTTTACATATACTTATAAAAATCTTTATATACAAATTAAATTTATTTAAATATATAATTTTAGTATTTAAATTACATCAAAGCATATGCATGAAAATATATATTTTGTTTTAAGGAAATTAACGTTAATATTATTTTTGAAGTGATTTAAAAATATTAGTATTATATAATTAAATATAAATATTTAAATTCTCTCGCTTGAGAATATTTATTTGTTCCCATGGGCTGATCCAGGAGTCACGAGAGCAGTCATGGCTAACAGAGTAATTTACCTACCTGCACATAAAGTGCGTTCGGAGAAACCGTGGCGGCCTTAAGCAGATAATCACTTCCCCACCGCACCG